CATCAGGGTCTACAACTGTAGCCGAGGAGCTGTCTGTGGCGTGAGTAAAAGTTTTCAAGTTCGAGCAACAACAAGAGCTGCACATGTCAGCTGGGATAGGGTAGCTGTGCATCTAGGCAAACTGCCTGCCACAACGAGCCTCACTGGAAATGCCAACCTCGCGTCCCCTGAGAGCAGAGCCCATTTATAAAGCTTTCTGCAACCCATGCAGAAGGGATCTAAAAATATATCCTTTTAATTAAAGAAACTTTCACCGCCCACAAAGTGACCTTGACCCCCTCCCCACAGGGCCCACGCGAAGGACACAAGGGGATTATGTCCCAAATGACTCCGTCTGCAGGTCAGACATTCACTACGTGCACAGATTCTCGCCGTCTCGAAGAAGGAATGCTTTAAATCCCACAAAGCCTCCCCGTATACGATAATCACCTGGCCCCTTCAACTCCTGGCCTGCTTCATGATGCAGAGGCTGCCCTGGCAGGACGGCGCACACCCTCCCTCACATGAAACCACACAGAGCCGGCAAAGCAATGAGACCATAATTAGTATCTGGCTGGACTGTTTTATTTACTGTTGTATCTACTCCCACTCTCTCTATGCTCAGGAAGGCATTAAATGTTGTGCTACTGCAAGGACATTATTTTTTGATAACGGCCAATGCAGAATCAGTACAGCCCGTCCCATTCTTAGCGCCAAAGTAACAATAAACAGTCCAAGACCAACAGATGTTTCAAAGCAAAAGTAACATTTTAAATGAAAAACTTGGCATGCAGTGAAGTTCAGTTTGCTTAGCTTGCTCTAAGTCAGAGTATCAAGACCACACCAAGCATTGCAGTGCTAATTCATGTCTTGCTACAAAGCCCTGTAGACAGATCAGGGCGAAGTGATCTGAATGGGGAGTCCCACGCTGAAACAAGACTATTACCCCACTAGCATTAGCAGGATTTTGGCCGTTTCACTTTAAAAGCAGCCTGTGCACTCTTCTGCTAGCTTCACCAGTGCAGGTCTGCTTGACAAACTAGAATCAAAGCACTTATAGTTAAAATAGAGCTCAGCTGCAACACTGCAATTGAGAAATCACTGTTAGATTAGTTTACCCCGCCCCCCACTTTCCTTTCACACCTCTTTCTCAAGAATGTCCTTCTTAAAGGTGCTCCTTGCTGCCGGTGTACAAGCCAGAAAGGCGGCTTCCAGACCCTTCTGTTTGGTCACTATGGTTACCCACAGCATTCCAGCAGCTTGCTAGATGCCTTGAAGTCCTCAGCCCTGAGCTCTTTTCTTCAGATGCAATTATCAGTAACTTCCGGGTCCTCAACACCATAGCAATAATAATAACAACTAGAGGCACTCTTTTGGCAGTCAGTGAACTGATCCAATTCCAAAGCACTTTCGCTCAAAGACTGTAATCAAATTAATTTGGTGTCAAACTCAGAAACCACCATATGCAACCCCTTTCCCTCACCGGCTACATTCTGTAGGACCTGGTAAGAGGAACGAAATTGTTTTGTTAGTGACACTTTATACTGAGTTGTGTAAATATCTGATCAATGCAGGCAAAGCTTCCTGAATGTTGAACGCAGCTCTGCTGGGACTGTTTGAGGGGGAGAGAGGGACACACTTGGACACCCCAGCATGAACCAGCCCTGCGCACCACTACCATCACAGACGCAGCCTCCAGCAGCCCCAGCAGGTCTGGGAGTGGAGAAACTGACTTTGTTTCTTCTCGATCATTAGAGCATCTTGGTATGAGTCTAATCAACAGGAGTTCTACCTTCTTTAGAAAAAGTACTGTAGGTTAAAACCCTACTGTATGTTTTTAATTGTATAAGCTCCCCTAACCAAATTCCATGCAACTAGTTATGGAAATTATGGTACTAAACTTAAACCTAATAAATTCAATATGATAAAAATGGAATTACCTTTATAAAAGACACTTTAAGAAGGTAAAACAGCCTAACTTCACTAAATTGACCAGTCCTAGAGACTGTATTCTTCAGACTCATTCATATAACAGACCACTACACTCATTCAACAGGATACACTTCCTTCCTCGGCAATGTCCTGCTATCCAAGTGACTCTAGAGCACTGTACTGTCTGATCACTTGCCCAGTTCAGCTATGCTGGGCGTGAGGACTTCCTACACTAATGACTTGCACTCTGCGCACCCTGCACTGAAACAACACAGCTGCAAAAAGGAGCTGTGAAAGGAGTAATCCATCGTTGCACATCTACAGTAATAATGAACCAGCAGTCTAGAGAATCTGAATCTTCTTGCATTCTCCATTCCAGATGCAGGATCTATCAGCATTCTCCCTTCCAGGTCCGGCCCTGGAAAAGCCACAACTCACACTCAGTATTCTGGCCATGAGCACCCCGAGGGATGTGCTCTTTAATGCCGAGAGGACAGTTGTATAACATGTTTTTTTTCCCCCACTTCTGTGAACATCCAGACAGAGGACAGCAGACAAAAGAGCTCCATCCGAGACCCCTCCATCCCTTGAAAAACCCTCATCACAGCTGATTTAGCACACTGATACTGCAGTTGGCCTGCGAACCAAACTTCATTCACCACACTTTTGAGAATGTCTAGTTGTAGACAAAGCGGCTCAGGCTCCACTGTGTCTGCGGGTTAAAAAAAAAGATTTGAAGCTACAATGTGTGAGGTCCTCCAAGCCAAAAATCAAAGCGGCAGAACATTCTGTGCCTATACCCCAGTAATACACTGCCAAGCTTCCTAAAACTCTCCCTCCGTTTCTCTGCGGGCAAGCACAAGAGATCTTTAATTGCATCCCAGTCACAGACCTTCATACCGCTGGTAAACAATTTGCTCTGCTGGTCCGATATCCAAGTTTTTCCTACACTTCCCAGGCGTATCCCAGCAGCCGAGCCCGGCTCAGCCTTCCCAGCCGCTAGTTTACTCCCGCTGCCAGCGTGGCTGTGCGAGAGCCAGGGCGATTTAAAAAAAGGAGAATGGAAATCTGCACTACAGAAGGCAGCTCTGTACGAAGAGCCCTTTTAAAGCAATGCCAAGAAAGCAGCGACGTGCAAAAAGACCAGAGCCCCCTCACTTTGCTTCATCTCTTTCGGATGAAAAACGGCTCTGTGTGGAAAAGAAAGACAAGAGACCGCAGAAGGGCAGATCAGCCTGACATGGCCATTAATTACGAGCACTGTGGTGCGCGGTTAAAATAAGCCACTCTCCCGATCCCAAACGTGTGAAGAACACCCTGTGCATTTTACCATTACTGGAGGAGCCCGAGGTCCCTTTTTCCCCGTGATTGGACCCTGAAAAGCACTGGAGAAGAGGGGGGAAAGGAGCTGAAAACTCGTGTTTCTCTTTGCCACGCTGTGTTGAAGCCGACAGTGGGAGGGGAAAAATCCCTACCACGATTATTCGACTGGACATTCCACTTCCTAAACACTTCATTTTTAACATTTAACAAACTCCTAACGTTTCATGCACGGCGATCCTTAAAGAAAGTCACAGCACCCGTCTTAAACAAGTTCCCACCAGAACGTCATTTTGAGACAACGTACTGTTTTTGTTTAGCTCCATAACTATTCTGCTCTCCCTTTTAATTCTCAAATTCTTGGTGCAGCACATTCTCTTATCGAGAAGAAATCTACTTCACTCCGCGGGCTAAATTCTGTAAATATGCAAAGTTATTTTACACCGAAAGCCCGCTGTGCACTAAGGAAGAGGCAACCTCGTCAGCGCTGGCTGATGTAACTCTCGGTTTTTTTTGCAGAAGCCGGATGTGGAACGTGTCGAACCCGAAGTATTCATGTTATTGACAGCTAGTTTTGCTTTTAGAATACTTGAAGTTCAGCTCCGATTCGGCGGCTACGTGAAAATCTGAACATAAAAAGCGGGAGACGGTAGAGGTGGGGGCAGGAATGTCATTACTTACTTTTTAAAAATATACATACACACACACTAAGCGCTCTAGTAATGTTATAAGCCCTGGCACGAGGAGTGGAAAAACCGACAGCAACGACGTGAAAAAATGTGCCCCCCCCCCCGCTCATTTCTTTCGACCGAAACAAGTAGCTAGTCCATGTTAAATCCCTTTCATGTGCCTTAACTTGGCGCCCAAATCAATGATCTGCCGCGTTAATTTTAATCCGGTGCTTTACAGTATAATTACTAAACCACCCGGGACAAATCCAGCCCCGTGATCAGGGCATATTTAGAAACTACCCCCCCCCCCTTCTCGCTTTCACGATGTGGCACTGAATTAAATTACACACAGCCTTCGCTTGCGGAGCTGGTAGGAGACATTCAAACAAAGGAAACTACCGACTTCTTTTCCTTGTCGGCACGGAGAATCGGACGTAGGTGGAGAAAGTACACCCCACCCCACCCCCTCCATCCCCTCCACGTTTCGTTCGCCTTCTCAGCCCCGAAAAGGCTTGAGGTGGCTTGTTGGTACTCGACACCGACGTAGAGCAAACCCACAAAAGGAAAACACACAGCAGTTCCAGATCCCAATTCAGAATCAATACCGCGTTAACGAGCGGGGGCGCCGACAGGCACGCGGCCAGCTGAGGAAGTAACGCGCCTCGGAAAGGGGGCACGAGAGCGGCCGGCTTTCAAACTAGTAAGGGGCGAAAGCTGTCCGTCCCCACTTAAAATACCCCACGGGAGACAACCCCCACGGATTTCAGTTCACTCTCCCCTGAGCTCCCTCATCCCCACACGCGTGGGGTATACAGAGACAAAAAAACACTCTGCCGGGAGTAGTAAACCCACGTCTCCGCCAACACCAGCGAGCGGTCATTTGCTCGCATGAGTAAGTCTGATTGTAAACCCGGAGTACATTGCGTCAGATTTTTTTTTCTATTAAAAAAAAAGGGGCAGAGGAGATGTTCCGCTTTTTAGGCCCCCTTAGATTTTTTTTTTTTTTGGGGGGGGAGGAAGACGACGAGTTAGATCAAAACACTCACGAAACAGCGGGATTTTTTTTTTTTCGATTTCAGACCCGAGGAGTTCGGTTACCTTTCCAGACGGTTGAAAGTAGCCAGGGACAAGTGGGATTTCTTCAGCAAAAAGGCGGGGGTTGCGGAGCGGAGCCCGTCGACCTACTGCGTCTGTTAGCGGTTAGTGAGTGGCTCCGGCCGGCTCGCTCCGAGTTTAAAACCGAGATCGGGTTTCTCGAGGAGGGGCTCGCGGTTCTGTTTTGTCAACAGACGTACGTAGAGGAGGCGTGGCGGTGACGTCAGGGGGGCCTCCGAGCAGGGGAGGGTGCAGAAGCCGTTCCATTCATGAATGTGGCTGGATCTTTTTTTTTTTAAAAAAACAAACAAACGGATCAGAAATTACCGGTTAACGCCGGGCAGTAAAAAAAAAAAATCTGCTAACGATGGGAAAAAAAAATCTTGCATTGGAAAAAAACAGTCTGACACCGGAGCAAATCAACGAATTTGATAAGTGCAACGACGATGGGAAGAAGAGCCCTTCTGAGAGAAAAAAAAAAATCTTTGGGATCATCTCATTTATTTATTTTTTCAGCTGTATATTTCAGCCGATAAGAAAATACCCGACCCTTGACGTCTTACTCGAATCGCCGGTATTAATAATACCTCTGCCACGTGGTTGCAGGGTCGTTTACGAACCGTGAACAGCCCAGAGAAAAACTAAAGCACGCGCCTGTGTTGTGTAGCAAACCGATGCGATCCGAGACCACGAAGGGCTTTATTTATAATTCAGTATTTTACTGGAGAACAGTCATTGGCGGTTGGTACTGTATTTACGTATGCAGTTTAACACGCCTGGTGTTTTAATAGCCGTCATTTTCCCCTTATTAATTATACAATACAATTAATTCTAAGATGAGAGCGAAAATAATCAATGGTGACGTAAGTTTGGTGCATGCATGCCTCTTCAATTTAACACGTGTTTTATTTATGTGATCATATGATTTTTAATGCATTTAGGCGAGCACAGTGTGGAATGACAGTCTGGAGCCTGAGAAGGTCCTTGAGTTCTCCGTACTACTTCTGTTACTATTTTTCTCCTGTTCAGAACAACGTCCCTTCGTGTGCGGTTTCCTAGACTAGGCGGGTCAAGGAAATAAAGGAGTTTTGCTACATCGGAAACATGAAGCGACATCAGAAGGATTCCTGGAAGCTGACGTTCTAATAGATTCTGGAAAAATCCCAGCGCCAAGTTCCCGAAAGAATTTCGGCTTTTTTTTCCTGGTCTGTTAAGGGCGGGAACTAAATTCCTTAGCTCAAGGATAAGAGCGCGCCTCTGCACCTTATTGAGGGACTTTTCAATTAGCACCCGATTAAGACCTGGACAACACAACCGATTAGATTCTATTTATCTCCTCAATTGGTTCAATTAAGTCATTCAGACTCCAGAAAGGATAGCAACCGCCGCAGGGGGGGCGCTGGGGTCCAGCGTACCCCCGTTTTAAGATAACCAGCGTGTGAAACGGGTCGGCAGGAGGATGCAAAGCGCGTGACACAGCTCGCATTGGACTCCGGACGTTCGGGGTTCCTTGTAAACCCGGGGTCTCATCTCGAGCGCCACGGCCCAGCTGGGGTTTGTGGGTCTGCGTTAAACCGCCAAGGTCAAAAGACTTGGGAGCGATTTCAGCTGTGATCAGTTAAGCAGGCGATTTATGAAAGCAAGTCAGTAAGTGATTATTTAGGACCAATGTCTTAGTGCACCCCATTTCTCAAGGAACAGAGTTCACCTTACTGAATGAACACAATTCCTGCTTAAAGCTCCAAGTCTGAATGATCTGGATGTGGCATACTACAGACGCTACAGAGACGCCACTTCTAAATGCGGAGATCCCAGACGCTGCCGCCAACGCTTTCTGGAAAAGTCGACAGATGTGCCCGGATGGGATCGAATCCCTTTCCCTTGGGTCGGAGACATGGAATCACAGATCACATAATAACCTTGATCAGGCCTCATTTGAACCGCGAACTGAGGGAGGCCGAAACGGTAGATGGCTGTATTGTTTAGGGACAAAACGCGCCAGTTAAAAGACCGTGCTGTTTCCAAAACGCGCACCGTGAGCGCCAGAATCAGGAAGCCTTGGGTGATCATTCATCTTTGCACCTCCGCGCGATGGCTTCCGTCGAAGCGTACCCGAAAAAAATCCCCAAACCGGCTGCGCAATGCAGAATCATTGCATCGGCTGTGGTACTGAAATAAACCTCCTCGCCACTCGTAAAGATATGTAAAGCAGGCAGACAGAAATCCGAATCTTCCCCGAAAACGTGCAATTGAACGCAGCCCCCCCGTCACAGGTGTTACATCGCTGGTGCTGGTCCTCGCTCAAGCGCTCCAGCTCGCCAGTGCAGTCGCGCTTCACCTAGCGCGTGATCAAAGCGTTATGAGCCGCTCGTGCTTGCATTGCAACTACGAATGTATTTATTATTACGGCGGCAATGGGGTAGCACTGGGGCCCCCGGGACCCATTCCGGACCCGGGGTGCTGTCTGTGTGGACTCTGCATGCTCTCCCCATGTTCGCGTGGGTTTCATCCCGCAGTCCAGACGCGCTGGGAGATACGCCATGTGACGCACCGTTGCTTGCCGGGATAGGCTCCGGCTACGCCGCAACCCTGAAGTTCTGTATCAAGGGAGGGAAAAAAAAGTCGTTGATAACTGATAGGGTAGTGTTACATTCTGCAGAGAGACGAAATGCGCTTTCAGTACATTTTATTTCCTGACGTCTCATTAAAAAGGCGTTTTAAGAATGATACACCTTTGGGTTTTAGTCAATATCTGCAGAGACAGCTGGGCTCTGCAGCGCGTGACGGGGTCTTTGACCAGCCGCGCTCTCCGTGACGCAACAACAAGGTTTCCTTGCGTCAGTCCGGGGAGGCTGCCAGGGTCCAGCGCTGGTGCACAGTACGTGTCACAGGAAGGGGGTGTGGCGTTTATTTTAAGAAGTTATTTCGGTCTGTCCTCCCAAAAATCGAATTAAGCCATAGCAATCAAGTTAGTACGAATTAACACAGTGCACAGCAATGAAGGTACTGTAGATATTGACGTACATGCCGTGTCAAACATTAATTTCAAAGAAAGACCAGCTTCAGATTCTCATTTCTTTTGGCCTAAACTCTTTTCATGCGCTGCAACCTTAAAGGAAACCAAGAGAACTCCTAACCTTCGTATCAAATTCCAGCAGGTTGCCTATAGAATTCCCATTCTTATCTGCGTGTTCCCTACCGATCCATTAAAACCCAATAATGTAGCAGCTATACTCGAGGACTGGTCCCCACAGCAGTGCAGAACTCTTGGGATCGTGCTTTATTAGGTCTCCAGTACAGGAACGTGAGCAGGTCTGGTCCTTCACTCCGACAGTCATGTTGAACCTTCACCGGGGGAGGGGGCGTCACGGTGACACTGTGATCAGCATGGCGGCTTCACAGCGGCTTCACAGCTGGGGCCCCGGGTTCAATTCCAGACCTGGGGTGCTGTGGGTGCAGAGTTTTTATGTGCATGAGCTCCCTCTGTTCCCAGGGGTGGGTTATTTGGCTTTTTGGGGAAGTTGGCCCTGGTGTGAGTGCCTGCCTGTCCGCCCTGCGCTGGACTGGCGTCCTGTCCAGGATATTTAATAATAATAAT